CATGACTTTGTACATAATATTGCCAAGGGTTCCATGATTCCTTCTGCCAAATCCTTCAGCACCTGAGCTGACATTCACCAGGGCCTCCTGACTAAAATCCAATCAAACTACTCAGAAGTTCTCCAATGCTCATTTTAGTTACCATGAACCTCAGTCTTTCCCAGTCTAGCCCATATTATTTTTGCTAGCTGTCTGGTTACTTTTTTGCCAGCCTCAAAACAAGTGGGTATCCATTACATCATGACGTTCCCTTCTCACCAGACTTTTAATTTTAAAAAGGGGGTCATGCCCAGTGTAATCTGCAGACCAATGGTGGGCCATGCAGAGTCCATGGATCAGACTGGGAACTGCAGTTTCAGGTGCCTCACCCCTTGTCATTTAACTCTGTTCATCCCCACCCCCCAGTTTGTGCCAGTTCTGTCATGGTGTAGAAGGAGAAAAACAGCAAATGTGCTGCATGGGAGGGAAGACCAAACACAGCAAGATAAGATGGATGAGGTACTTGGTTGAAGGCAGCAAGCAAGTGGAGGACACGACAGCCACAGGTTTATGCGGGACATTGGAACCCAGCGCAGGGTGTGCTGCAGTAGCCAGGAGGGAGGCACAAGGCTGATCGAGTGATACTGTCCGGGTGAGTGGCAACTGGGCAGGCTTTTCCTACAATTCCACTTCCACAGGCTGCAGAAGTGAGCCCAGTTTGGAGCCCTTGGCCTCTAAGCCACCTACAGATTACACTAGCACTTGGTCTTTGCTCCTCCTGCAAAGAAATCAAACCAGCAACCCAGTGAAAGCTCCATATCTGCAGAGGGTGGGGGGAAAGCCCTTCAAACAGAAGGAGGAAATGGCATTGACTTATCATGAAAGGGACCATGGCAGGAAGAGCCATGTTAACCTACCACCATGAAGTACAGCTCGCAGCTTACAGTGCAGACAGTCTCAAAGACAAAGGTAATTCTTGCCACCTCTTTGTTTTCAGCATCCTCCATCACTGACTGCGGGGGGCTGTAAATGAAACGGCATATATCAGAGGTCATACCTCTATTGCCTAAGACAGGGGTGACCAACCTGCAGCATGCATACCTGAGCAGCACAGGCAGCTTCTGTGCATGGCATGTGGCAGACTAGGGAGAGTGCAGGGAATACAGCAGCAAAGGGCAGAAAGCAGAGCAACAGACTGGGCAAGGAGCACAGGGGACAGAAAGCAGAGCAGCAGATCAGGCAAGTGAAGTGGATTGGAGTGGCACTTAAGGAGAGTGTGAGGCTAATTCATAGCATGCCTAGAAAAAGGTTGGCCCCCACTGGCCAAAGACATCAGGAAGTTCCTGGAGAGAGACTGAATTCATGTGCAGGGATTGCTGAATTTAGGAGTTCTTGTTCGAATGACTGCCTGGGAGCCATCGCAGGTTCGTGGGCCAGGCTGGAGTCCCATGGATACCAATAAAATCAGTAACCTTCACT